AGGTAGATCTATATTTCATTACAGCCCCAGGCATTCGACATGTAGTCTCAAGAAAAGAGAACTGTCATTTTTTCCCCAGATATTGCAAGCATAGGGAATGTAGAGCAGAAAATGAAGCCGCTCTCCCCGCAGGGTTGTTTGCAGAAGATCACAAGGGAGCCAAAGTAGAGGAGCATTAGTACCTCTGTTTGCAGGCTCTCACACTCTCTGCGCATGCAGAGGCAGGTTTCCATAGCTGCACACCTCCTTTGTACACCACTGCACACACACGTGCTCTGCAGGTTACTGCCAGCAGAAGAGAGGTTGGCAAGACACCCTCTGCCAGCATTTTTCCATGAACAGTTGCCCAGTTTCCATAAATAACAGCAGCCCAGGGCAGAGCCCAAATGCAGCCCCCTGCTACCCAACCATGGACTGGCACAGAGCAAGCTAAAAGCTTGCAGGCCAGGTTGCACATGAGCTGCACCGTGAGGGTGGAGGCCCTGCACCGAGCCCCATGGCACAGCAGGTCAGGCACAACTGCTCTCAGCAGCTGAAGCACAGCTCATGTCTTGCAGCAGCACCACTTCAGCACAGTGCAGAGCACAGCTAATGAACCTGGAGGGGTTCACATCAGCAGCAAGCAGGTATAGCACAGCTCTCCTCAGTGATGGCTGCACAAGTAGCATGGCGAAAGGAGCCAGGGCCAGGACACATCACTTGGAACAAAGCAATGTTCAAGAGAAACCCTAGATCTCTGTAGCACACCTCCCAGTGCTCCCAGCCGAGGACTGGACTTCACATCAACTTTAATTGCACTTTAGGCAAGCAATGGTTAGCAGGAGAGACCAAACCACCAACCACCGTTTTCAGCATGCTGTAAGAACAATATTGTTATCTGGAGGCTGACACTTCGCCCATTAGCATGTCTACATGGCATAATTTATAGAAAATAGGTTATATTCCTAAAATCCCAGTTAGTCAACCAAGCAACACAGGTCCCCAAGCTCTTCAAAGCATAACACTTGGAAGTTTGAGCTTCGCAAACATGAGACAGCTCAGCAGTTTGCACTCTTCTTAGCAAGAAACGGCAATGCTTTCACCCAAACCATTACAACAACAAACCCACCCCCCTAAACTTAACAGAAGGGTCAACTGGAGTCTAAGAGTAAGGTTCCATAGTTTTCCTCTGTCTCTTCAGCAGAGGCAATTCGAAAAATTCAGCTCTTGTATTCAACCCATACCAGGAAAATAGCCTGGAATTTGAAATTATACTTCAAGAAAAAACTCTTTGCAAAGAAGTGAGTTTCAGATCAATTAAAACATTCTGCTTCACCTTAAACAAAGCCTAACCAAGAAGCTGCTTGAAAGTGAAGTATTAATACAAAACATTTCAATAACTTGGAGATGTCCCACCTTTAAATTACCTATGAGGGTGCAAGTGCCTGTGCACAATGAAAAGTTGCTCAGAGTGCCACTGCAAAATCAGCAAGTACCTTAGGCTGTGAGTTATCCAGCTTAATTCAGGCTGTGTCATGGAAAGATTGATTAAACTCCTCTCTGTGGACATTTCTAAAATGTCCCAAAGCTACAAAGGTAGGCTTTACAGTGCTTCTCCTCCTGATAGCTATACCTTTTCCCTACACAGCTGTTGCTAGTCATGCTTAGAAACAGGATGCTGACAGACAGCTCTTTGGTCCAATAGAGTTGTCACAACATTGCATGCAATGTTTTGCTCCACCAGTGCAGTGTGTTACTTGAGCCTGCAATGCCACGGGAGAGGTCAGCACCCCTGGCGCCACCTGACAAACCACTGCTTGAGCTCCATCTTCTGACACTTGCTGGCATCAGTTCCCATCAGCTGAATGCACCCTGCTGTTCCCCAAGCTCTCATATTATTTCAGATTCATGGAACAGGACACAGAAAAATGGCCAGGGTGCCACCATCAATGGGACTCAGGGGGTCAAATCCTAAATGCCACCTAGACTCATGACTAATGGTGCCAGGACTACTCCTTGGGGCTGTATGATCTGTGAGTGAAGATATACCTGTTTATACCTAGCTGAAAAGGACCAGCGGAGTTCAAGGAGAGTGTTGCCATTGCAAATAATGCCATCCACGTTCTAGACTACATCAGGAAAGTGGCCAGCAGATTGAGAGAAACTATCCTAATCTGATCCTAAGTGTTGGTGAGATTGTGCCTAGATAGTCTGTTCTGTTTGGACCTCCCTGGTTCCAGAGAGATCTTGAAAAACCTGGAAGTATCAATTGAGATAGTGAGGGACCTGGAGCACATAACCTATGAGAAAAGGTTTTAGGAGCTGGGCTTGTACTCTGGTGAAGAGAAGCTACCAGGCAGTATAAGAGCAGCCTACACTTATTTCAAACGGAGCCCCAGAGATGATGGAGCCAGACTCTTGTACAGTCCTAGTCACCAACAAGGTGTGGAGAGAGTGCAGAGAGGCTGAAGGGAGAGCTCAGCATGACAGTTCCTAAAAACAGGAGAAGCCATTCAGGAGCCAGAGCTGCTGCAGACAGAATACAATAGCCCTCTCTGAAGTTTTCTTGGGATCAATAACCAGAGGTCTCAGTTCAAGTCAGGGGTCAAGTGTTTTCATTGAGCTTCAGAAGTTGTGGTAACTCCTCTGTGCAACACAGACTGCTCCAGCTGTGCAGAGGTGTTTTTAAACTGGTCCTGGCTCTAGGACTTTTTGCATTATATCCCTCCATCTCCCCACACATTATGTCCCACATCTCCCAAGTGAATGTGGGAACATGACCATCCAAATTCATCTATGATGTTTAGACTTGGATCACAGCTGGGGCTGGAGACAGCAAGTAAAACACCATCTGTTCATTAGCTTTGAAAATTGCCCAAGTACAAAGCCAAAACTTCCTCTGAACTCTGTAGAACTGTAGATATGGATCTGAATCTTGTGTCTGGCTGATCCAAGTGCTCCTAAGTGGCAAGTGGTGAGGGGGGGATGGGCTTGCTGCTGGACTGCAACTGCTGGCTGCTGTCAGTTCCCAGTACTTCAATGCTGCCTGGCCTGACACTCGCTCTATTCTCAGTGAAATAGCTGGAGCTGGGATGCTTAGCTGGAACAGATCTTTAGCTTTGCTGCTTGGACTGATTTCTACCCGACAGCTCACTCTTTCTCCCAGTTACACACATATCCAAGGCACCCACTGACACATACCGAGGTGCCAAATTGTGAAAGAAAAGGGAAACTAGGGTGGGTAAGGAGGTCCACTTGAAGATGGGCCCCACTTTGCTGCTTGCTGCAGGATCCAGCTCCATGTCATCAATAGTCACAAGAGCTCAGCTCCCCACCAGCTGGTTCTACATGTTCGTATTCAAGCCCTGTGTGTGAATGTGATTTATGGTCCTCAAGAAAAACTAGGTCCTTTGGTCCCTGACAGTGGATGCACAGGGAGGACAACAGAGAGAACAAGCCACCCCTCCTGCAATCCAATATAAAATCAGAGGGATTGGCAATGGCAAAATTGGCAGAAGGAGCATGGCCCCTCTGTGCTGTCTGGACTATTTCCCAGAAGGGACAGCAAGGCCTGTGTAATCAGGCTCAGCTGGTAATCAGACAAAGTCCAAACTAGCATAAAGACTAAATTATCCCTTAGTCCTTCCAGCTCAGGGGAGAGAATATTGATAGGGGAGGCAAGGGTGGCTGCTGGACTGCAGCTGCCAGCAGCAGCCCATGCGGACAGAGAAGTATCTCTCTGTCTATATATACACCTAACTTGCCCCTCGCCCCATTGTCATTTAAATAGCTGGCACCTGGCGTGCAAAGGGCACATGCAAATCCCAGCGCCCCACTCAGCCGCGCACCAGCATCACTGTGGGCACTCCGCGGCCCTCGGGGGGGCACACCATCTGTGCCCACCAGCGCTCGCCGAGTGCTGCTTGGAGACCCTGCCGCTCCTCGCTGTTCTGTGTGCCCCGACCTGCCCCTCTCTCCAGTGCACAAAGAGGGGGACTGATGCCAGGCTGCCTGAATTGGTGTGAAAAGGGGCCCCAGCAGACAAGGCTAAACCTGAGCCCAACTGGCCATGTAGCTTTGTTTCCATCACTGCTGGAAGAACGTAAAAAAAAGCATCCCACCATGGGGAAGGTGGGGGTGTGCCTTGGTGCTGGATTCAGCCTTGGGAGAAGGATTTATCACACCCCTAAAATGCAGCAGACCCATCTTTACCTGTTCAAAAAATAGCAGCTGTCAAATTTATATGACCATTTTGAAATCATAAGATTTAATTTGCATAAATAGACTTTTACGTGTGTATTTGGTTGGGAGGGCGTGAGCATTTTTACATTTTAGTTTTTGACTCTTTAAAACCCTGTCATAGGTCATGGCTTCAAGCTGCCCTTTGCAACTTTGGGGGCCAGAGAGAGCCTCAGAATTTAAAAGTGGAAAGTTAAGACCTGAATCTCACTCTAGCAGTTACCTCTGAAGTCCTGTGACTCACCACCTCTCCTCACATTGCAGACACTCTGTCAGCTGCCCAAACACTGTCCACGGGGACCGCTCTGGAGCGCAGACCTCTGTATAGGTCCTGGTTAAAACACAGAATTTCATAATATATAAGGCTGGAAGGGATCTCTGTAGATCATCCGGTGCAACCTCCCCATTCAAGCAGGGTGGGGAGCAGGACAGGTGGGGACAGGATCCCGTCCAGACGGTTCTTGAATATTTCCATGAAAGGAGATTCCACATCCTCTCTGGGCAATCTGTTCCAGTGCTCAGTAACCTGTACAGTCAAGAAGTTCTTCCTCATGTTCAGATGGAGCTTTTTGGGTTCCAGTTTCTGCCTGTTGTCCTTTGTCCTGTTGCTGGGAACTACCGACAGGAGTTTGGCCCCATCTTCCTGGCATTCTCCCTTCTGATATTTAAATACATTGATAAGGTTCTCTCTGTCTTCTCGAGGCCGAACAGCTGCACCTCCCTCAGCCATTCTTTGCAAGGCACATGCTCCTAGTCCCTTAATCATTTAATCAACTTTTCACTGGACCCGCTCCAGGAGGTCCATGTCTCCTGTCCTGAGGAGCTCAGAACTGGACACAGCACTGCAGATGCAGCCTCGCCAGGGCTGAGCAGAGGGATAGGATCACTCCCCTCGATCTGCTTGCACTGCTCTTCCTAAAGTACCCCAAGACACTCATGGACTTCTTGGCCATAAGCGCACACTGTTGGCACCATCAGCCAAACACGGCGAAGGTGCTTCTAGAACAGCACCCGCTCTCTTAAGGGGGCTGCGTACAGGTCAGGAAGCATGCGTAGGGCACGGCACAACCGGCATCAGAAGCGGACTGCCCTGCTGTCCCACGGCGAGCTGTCCCTGGTCACTTGGGCTGTCCCTGCCGGGCTGTCCCTGGGTCCACCCTCACGCCCCGCGCGCGGCTGCCGGAACAAGGCGGGCGGGGCGTGCAGCGCCACACGCGGGGCGGCAGCGCCACCTGGCGGTTCCCCGTCAGGCGGCGGCCGCGGGCAGGGGACGCACGGCGGGCACGGCAGCGGCCGCAGAGGAGGAGGAGTAAAACAGGCTGGCTGGACGCAAGTATATCTAAAGATGAGGAAAAGCTTTTGAGGGCCTCAAAATCACGACACTGTAACAGGTTGCCCAGAGAAGCTCTAGATGGCCCATCTCTGGAAGTGCTCAAAGCCAGGCTGGATGGGGCTCTGGGCTAGTGGAAGGCATTCTTGCCCATGGCAGGGGGGTTGGAAGTAAATGATCTTTAAGGCCCTTTCCAACCCAAACTACTCTATGACTCTGATTCTATGACATGCCTCTTCCCAGCCATCAGCTTCAGCAGCAGTTTTCAGCCATGCCAAGGAGAGAGGCGAGATCTCCAACTTTTTGTTAAACTTCCACTCTATCAGCAGTTTATGATTTTCAGATCCTTCTGTGGCCCTTCATGACAGGTTTCATGCTATTACCCAAACATTCCCACTGCAATTTTCAAATAGAGATGCTTTAGTAGAGAATCTTTTCTCTCTTCTGTGACTGCAGGTAAAAGCTTGAGCAGAGGCACCCTGAAGCTGCCATGCTGGAGAAATATCATGAGCAAGAAACTTTTCAAATCCCTAGAACTAAATGATCGTTAAGGTCCCTTCGAACCCAAAACATGCTGTGATTCTATGGTTCTAGGTCACAGTCACCTCCTTTGCCTTTGTCAGAGGACATGGAAAGATCAGTCCCTGTCTCCTGCCAGGCACACCACATGTGATACGGGGGGCTATATCCCACCACCAAGGAGACTCAAGAGCCACCAGTTCAGTCTGAAGACCTGATTATCCTACAGTAGCTGCTCTCAGTCTTCTGACAGCTCCTAGCTAAGGCAAAGTCACTTTCAAGCTTCAGAGTTTGCTCTTAATTTAGAGTTTGGCATGTGGATGCTGGGTCTGCAAGGAGGGACAGCCTTTATCAACTACAAAAAGGCTGATCTCCCAGAGACTTTGATAATTAAAAATTATGAATGTGTTTATAGTTGATAGTCTGTGAGAAGCTATTGATGGCTGGCTGTATACTTCTGTGCAGCCCAGCCTCCCCCCGTCACAAATCAGCCACTAACAGAAAAGAGACCATTATATTAATTGCGTAGGATCATTTAAGAAGCTCTATCTAACTAAATCTTGAAGGACCTTCAGGAGTTGGGATCTGATCCAGGAAAGCAGTGACCCACATACTTAACTTCTAGTGCAAGGGCAGACCTAATAGGATGCAAAATTTAGCAGAGGCCTAAGTCTTTTCCCTGGGTTCAGGGCCATACACACTAACACTTTAGAGAAGGTCAACATCTTACAGCCTGCCAGTGTCAGTGGAGAGATAGATGGAGTGCTGCTTCCTAATTTTACTTATGCTAATAAATTCCCCACCTGTACACAGTAATTTACAGGCCAAAAAAGCCAAGCTACTGTCACTGGATAGCTACAAGACAGAAGCTGGTCATAGTGTTTGGTTTACTAGAGTTTAATAAGTGAGATGTCTCAGGGTTGGATAATTCTGGGCAGGTGTGGCTGCTCCTGCAACCTCTTCCTGAGTATCAGGCTCCCCAGGCTTCCTTCTGTTGGGGGCTGGTTTTTCCTTTCCTCTTTGCCTGTGGAAATTTTTCCCATTGACATGCACTGATGGCTAGGGGGGAGGGGGAGGGGAACCTCACTGGGTTTTGGGAGTTTTCTCTCAGGGGGAGGAGGGGGGAGCAGTTCCTGGCTCTCGCTCACTCTTGGCTTCAGAGGAGGAAGGTCGCTCCTATGTTCCTAATGCCAACATCCCGGTGCCGGGAGCTGCCTCTTCTACTGTTGGACCCCACACACCCAGGCCTACTAGGACATTCTTTTGCTTTCAGCTTTCTGTTTTCCAAGCGTCCTGCCTCTCCTCCATCCCTTCACATCTGGGACACAGTCACCATCACCTCAACGCTGCTGCAACCATGCCGGATCATAGCATCTGCCCTGTCCACCAGGAGCCTGCCAGCACTCACTGCCAGCTGTGACGGGAACTGCACCAGAGGGAAAAGTGCCTGCAGCCGAGAGGACTGGAACTGCATTCCTGTTCTGTTTGTTGTTAATTCCATAGTTGTTGTTTTGTTTGCCTTGTTATATATACTAGTAAAGAACTGTTATTCCTATCCCCATATTTTTGCCTGAGAGTCCTTTAATTTCAAAGTTATGCTAATTCAGAGGGAGGGATTTACTTCCTCCATTTCAAGGGAAGGCCTTGCTTTCCCTAGCAGACACCTGTCTTTCAAACCAGGACACCTTAAAAATGTTTCCAGTAAATGTGTGTATGTGTGTGTGTGCGCGAGCACGTATTAGGGCCTGATCCTCAAGCAGTGGTCTCTCATCTCTCATCTGAGACATAGTTTAGGTACAGGAAGGGAATTTTGGATAAAAATGAAAATATTGCAGTTCAAAATGTCAAAAGACATACTTTCACTCCAAACCATTCTGTCGAACTAAAACACACTTTTAAAGTCCTTTATGTTGCAGGATCTGTTCTTTCTGCCACTGGAGAGTTTTAGCTGAGTTTTTTCAATTAGCACTTCAATTGTCATGGAAATGTCATGGAAAGCCTTCCTGAGATGATTGGTGGGTAGTCTTCCCCTTTGGAGTACTACAGTTATTTGGATTGACACTGTCAGGATAAATGATGCTGTTCAGCCACATAGTTCTATATATGATCACAATACGTGGAAGTCAAAAGGACTAACTTAAGTCTTAAATACTCAGGGTCTTCATCAGATCTGAAAAAGTTTAAATGCATCAAAGACTCAGGCCCTGTTCTGATTCATCTACATGCTTAAATCTCTCCTCTGTAGGTCTGATCTGGACAAATAGCAATCAGAACAAGCTCTAGGAGCAGGAAAAAACATTTGAGTTTCACATCTTCACAAGACTAGCCTTAAGTATCTAATTGGCTGTTTAAACCCCAAAAATCTGCTACTTGCAAATGAAATAATGATCCTGAAATGACTGCAGCTTGAAATTGGTCGTTAAAAAGGGCATTGTGTTCATAAATCTGCAGGCTTTAACTCTGGCAAAATAGTCATGTAAGTTAGTCCAGAAAACACCACTTTATGGTGAGACAGGTATTTGTGTCTTTGTCAAAGCATCTCAGAGAGCATAATGAAAGCTCTGTAATCCTCCTGGAAATCTTTCCCTCTGTACTGGATTGAAATGCAAAGAAAGAAAGTAAGAAAATAAAAAAAAAATAAAAAAAAAAAGCCCAACAAGAAAAATACATTAACCAAGCATGAACAGGTATCAGTTGTATTTACTTAAATAAAGCTATCTTGGTTTCCTGCTACTGGCCAGTAAGAACTGAACACAAACTGCTGTGCTAGATAATTTTAGATCCCCTTTTACATGTGACATTTGCCTGACTGCACTAACTACTAGGTCAAATTACTGCATCCCTGCCCTGTATATCCACATCTGCTAATCCAGGGAGCTTTGTAGGAACTTAGTTGCAGCTGTCAGTGTGCAGGTACTACACATAGCTGTGATGTGCAGCTCCTGAGAGGTAGAAGAACTGAGCTGGCAGTGCCAGTTCTTCACCCCACGCACGTGCTCTGAGACACAAGAGGATGAAGAACACCATCAGTGTACAGCCTGACTTCTAAAACCTGTCACATCCTCCAAGCCGGCTTCTGTCTCCTGCCAATGAAAATATCTCTCAGTCAGGGATCTTCAGCATTCACTAGGACCACAGCACCCAGCAAGGGACCTGTTGAGAGCAATGTCATGCTGCCAAGCCAGGAGGAATATCTGAATGTTGGCCACAGGCTGGCATCTGGTGGTGTGATCTTCTCTTTGGTACAACTCCATTTGGAGTGTACCATATGGTACAGCTGGCAGCTCTAAGAGTCAGTCTGAAGACATCTTTGATGAACTCTGAGAAGAGGGGACAAATCTGGAGCCATGCCTTAGTTTTTTGTGATCCTCCTTACCAACAGTACCTGCTAAAATGCACCTTAAGAAGAAAACTCTTCACCTGCCTAAAGACAGCTTGTCTCCCACAAGGATATAGTAGTTCCCATTGTCCATGGAGCACTAGAGAAAGCCACATACCTACCTCCTAGAGTTTACACTACAAACCAGCCACTGTATCTCCTGTGCACCCTTTTCCTTGTCCCCTTTACCCCCAGACCATTCTGCCATGCCCCTCAGCCAGCCACCCCCAGACTCCATCAGCCAGGGGGTGGGAGGTCCCTTGGCAGGCAGGGATGGAAACAGGAGCACAGCCTGTGGAATGACTCCCCACTCCCAGGGGAGAGTTGACCTCTGCAAGCTGACACCATGCCAGGGCAAGTTATGAGTGAACCCAGAAGCCCTTTATGGAAACCATGACCCAGGCTGCAGCTCAGGGGTGCTGCCAGGTGGTACTTAACTAGAAATCTCAGGTTAGAAAAAAATCCAAACCCTTCTCTGGCATGCTAGCCCTAGGCTTGGAGAGTCACAGCTACTGCTTTTTCTTCCAGGAAAGCATTGCCTGCATGTTTTCGGGGGTGTTGGGCTTTTTTCCTTTCTTTCTTTCTCAGGACAGAGCTGGTGCAGGAGGCTGCTGCTGCTGAGGTATCTTCCTTC